ATAGCAATGTTGTTCCCATTGAGTAGAATCTGATCCAGCTTTGTTATCCGTCTCCCCTCGGCAGTGATCTCACTACAATGTAATACAGAGAGAGTGAAACAATATAGTAGATTGTAGAGAGCGCTATGTCTCTTGATTAAAACAAAGTCATTAGGTTCATAAAAAAGACAGCAACTCATACATGCCACAAGCATAAAAGACGTGCCAAGATCGGAATTTTAGGCCCAATGGAACGCACTCTAGATTTTGATTGGTAGAACAGGAAAGAAAATCAGCAATGGTGATATTAGCTCCAACAACAAGTACTCTTGTGAATGGATCGTTTATTGGTTAATTATAATTTAGATGTAGGCTTTATGAAGCCACCCTTTTTTGAATGAAAAGTTGAACGAAAGAAGATCACGAACTTATGACCACTTCAATATCCATATTAACCCAGTACTGAAAACATCAGAATAAGCTGAAACAAGTTATATGAAAAGCTTGAATAGTCAGTAAACTAGAAGGGGTGTCTAAGATCATAAGCAAAGACAATTTAACAATTTAACAACTCCTTGTGTTCTTACCAAATCGTTACTCCCTTTGTCAGTAACCATTGAGAATTCAAGTCAATTTTCATATATTTAATAAGGAAAACATCATGAGCTTTCCAATGATGAGTTAATTAAAACATCTTGATCATCACATTCAGAACTTGATGCTCAACTATGAGCTTCCCAATCTGGTTATATATCCACAACCGGACCCCGGAAGAGAAAAGTAAGCAATAATCTGCTAGCTTTACAGCTCCAAAAGGGAAAGGATAGAACAATAACAATCATGTATCCCGCTTAAATCTGTTTGCTAATTTTTCCTATCCCCAACATAGAAGAAGATAGTAAAATTGTACACTGATAGGGAACACGATTACTGACCCCCAATTTGTTGAGAATCAGGCGTGGAAAAAAAACAACAATGTGTATCAACCTAGGCAGAGTACTGCTTGACACTTGAGCCAACTTTTTCCTTCTACTTTACGAGAGATTTTGGTTCTCTACTTTACCTTACCTCCATGAAAAGAAACACTTTCATCAACGGAATCTCAGCAGGAACTGAACATGGCTAAGGTTATCCCCCTCTCTTGTTAACTCTTTTCCTTCTATTTCAGTATGGCATGAGATTATGGATCACTTTCCTCAACTTCTAAAGAAACCTCCAGTGTCCAGTTCCCTTCGAAAATTTGAATAAGGGAATTTCTAAACCTTAACTCAAAAGCTCTCCATAATTCAATGAAAATCACATGCTCAATAACTCAAATTGCTCTAGCGTAACATTCTCTGTCACTTTCAATCACGTTTCAATCCCTTAAACACAGACAAATACGACCTTGAGCCTAATACTTCCCTCTACTCGCCTCATATTCCCCCACACTAAAATCAACACATCAAACACTTCATATGAGAAAGAGAACAAACAGAACAGATTCAAACACAACAAATTATGCGAAATACAATGAGCAAACCAAAGAAATGTGAGTTTAGATCTCATAGAAGCCCTTACTATTCAGTAACATCTTCAAGAACCATGTTGACATAAACATCGAATCCTCTGAGAGTACCGACCAGTTCCTTGTCGCCTTTCATAATGACCCATATTTTCGACCCTATACATCGGTCGATCAACTCTGCAAATTATCATCAAAAACCAAGTAAATTAGAGTCCAATTCAATCGAAATAGGAGGGGAAAATGAGAAAAAAAAAATCGAAGAAGAAGCAGAAGCGAACCTGAGGGCAGTAGCTGCGAAGGATTGTTGGCCATGGATTGGAGGTCTTCGGCGAAGGCGAGCGAATCAAAGCAAGGGTCTGCGAATTGAAGCCGCGAATTCAGTTAAAAGTGCAAAGAGGCGCGAGGTCTTGTTTAGTGATTTCCCGTCCCGCCTCCTACTTCTTTTTCATTCTATGCTTCCCAAATTTCCTATATATTTTAAAAAATTAATTAATAAATAATTTATATTTTTCAATATAATTAAAATATTATAAATTAATTAAAATACTTTCAAAGTTTTTAATAATAACCTCTAACTTTTTAAATTTTTTAAAAATTAATTAAACAATATGTATTTTCTTTATTATTAATTTAGAAAAAAAAAAAAAAAAAAAAGGAAAACCTTCATTTCAGAGGGTTTAGTCTCCTCTCCAAAGATACAGTTAGCAACTCCTCTGTGGCGCGCTAGGGTTTCTGAGTATCTCTCATCATCTTCCTCCATCTATCGCTTCCCCGCCAGCACGACGCCATGGATAGGTATCAGAAGGTCGAGAAGCCCAAACCCGAGTTACCGATTAACGAAAATGAGATCCGAATCACTACTCAAGGCGCCATTCGAAACTACATCACATATGCCTCTACACTGCTCCAGGTATTTCCTCTTCCCATTCAATCTCCTCTACTCTTTACTTCCATCATCTGATTGCATTTCACACTGTCCGCTTGCTGATTCTTTTTTTCTTTTTCTCCCTATTTTGTGTGTGTGTGGCAATGCTGTGTCCGTTCTGTAGGATTCGGATCGTTTTTTTTTCAATTTGGAACTGTCTGTGTGTCAATCGATTCGTGCTGCTAGGGATTTTGTTCTTAGTTCTCGATTATTCGATAATTTCTGGGGTTGTCTGTGTAATTGTTTCGATATGTTAATTCGTGTATTCTTCTAGGTATTGGGAAGAACTTCATTAATTATCACTTATAGTTTAGTTACGAATGATAGAGACAAAAAACTGAATCACATTGAATATTGTTGTTCTTGGAACTTATTCAGGAAAAACGTGTCAGAGAGATCGTCTTAAAAGCAATGGGACAGGCAATCAGTAAAGCAGTGGCTATTTCAGAAATTATAAAGGTTTAATTCCTTAGAATATGCGTGCGTTTGAGTTCAAATGTTGTGTAGCTCGTAATTGATTAGCTTTGCGTATCCCCAAAACAGAAGAGAATACCGCGGTTGCATCAACTAATAGCCATCAGTTCAGTTAGCATAACTGATGTATGGGAACCAATTGAAGAGGGTCTTGTACCGTAAGTTCTCTTAATCTTTGCCTTCAGATTTAATTGTATAACAAAGAATTGAGAACCTGTTTGTCTTAGTTGATTTGCACTCACTCTATATGCGTCGCTCACTACTTTGTTGCATGTTCTATGGGTTTGTACTGTGTAGCTTACTCCTTTAGACGTGCACGAAATAACTTATAACATGTCACACAGGGTGGAGATGACTCGTCATGTCTCGATGATTTCAATTACATTGTCCAATCGAGAGCTAAATAAAAATTCTCCAGGGTAAGTTGTATCAGAAACTTTACTCAAGATATATGGCTGTATTTTTGCTGATTCTGCAATTTGGTATAAAATGTGGGATTTTAGCTACTTTTCTTACATATGTCGTGCTTCTGTTTCTTCCACATGTATGATTGTGAAATAACTTTTGTTTGTAGGTATCAAGCTCCATACTTTGTGGAACAGCCAAAGCAACAATATAACAATCAACAGCAGCCTCCTCAACAACAACAACAACAACAACAACAACCACCCAGACAACATCACATTTATCACAATGCTGCTAATGAAGGTGATTTTGACATTTTTACCGTTGGATTGTACCCTACCTCGTATAGATTTTGACATATTTTTGGCATTTTTGCAGATCCATATGGCCAAGGGAGAGGACGTGGTAGAGGGAGAGGGCGCGGTTGGGGAAGAGGTGGATATGGGAACTACCAAGGTAGATACGGCAACTACCAAGGTGGATACGGCCAGTACCAAGGTGGATACGGCCAGTACCAAGGTGGTTACGGCCAGTACCAAGGTGGATCTGACAACTACCATGGTGGATCTGGATATTATCAAGGTGAATATGGAATTATCAGATAGTTTAGATTGAAGTATGTTCTAAAGTGTTTACTGGATTGCATTAGCCTTCATACTGTTCTGGAGTAGGATTTTTAAATTTTGTGAGTTTTATTCATCATAGATAATGGGAACTATCAAGGTGGATATTCGAATTGGGGAAGAGGAGGTGGGCGGAGTAGAGGCGGCTGGGCTTATCGGGGTAAGTTTCTTTCTCTAATTTCTCCGCACATTGCGAAAATACAAGCCAAATCTGTCCTTGAGTTGTCTGTAGGAATGTTTTGAAAATTATTGCAATGCGGTGACTTGTTTAAGTTTTCTTCAAAATCATAGCCAGTAATGAAGGTGTATGTAGCTTCTGATCTTGTAATGTTTGCGAAATGCTCATGGGAACAAGGCGTTTCAAGCGATTATTTTCTTCCTGCAGGAGCTGGATATGAAAGAGGCAGAGGAGTAGGGGGTAGAGGTTATGGCCGTGGACGGGGGCGAATGGGCGGTCGGGCAAGGGGCAGTGGTGGAAACCAGGTTTAGTCGAAACATATTCGTTTGTTCTTCGTGCCTCTTACTTGAGCTAAATGCTTGCCTTGGCAGTGGGATGAACTATCACATATTTGTTGTTGATAGCTTGGAATTCGGTTTTCACAATTTCCAGCGTTATTAGGTTAGCGTATTTTTCTTTATAGATAATGTGGGAATGCAGCATTGTATCTGTGGGGCAAGGTTGTTTTTTGGTTCATGCTTTTGCATTTAGCTGAAGAGCAATCAATTTATTATTACTTATGTAATTTGTTTTATTCTTGTCTCTTCTCCAATATTCAATACTCTTTATTTTCGAGCCAACGAAAGCAAACTTAACCTAGTTAAAGATATATTCTCGATCAAGAGGTCAATACATAAGTAATGTTTTTAGTAGTTGAGGTCGCTACAAAGTTGATGTGAAAATACCAAACTGCCCCCAAAATACCTTGAAATAACAATTTGATCCACTAATTGGCCTGTGTAACCCATATGGATTAGGTACTTTGAGAGTACTAAAAATATTTTTACAAACTTAATGCCTACCAGACCTTTCAAAAAACGAAGGAAAAAGTGACACGTAAGTGAAGAGCTACAACAAGTCATCTAATGTGAATTTTAAAAAAGAAAAAAAGAACGACAAAAGTTCGTCATCTTTTCAGCATTTGGTTGTCCATTCAAACATTTATAATAGCAAACTATAGTGGGATAGCGACTTAACATCATTAAATTGTCATTTTGTAGAAACTGCATTTACATTTACCAACTTACCATATAAGTGGGACGGAAAACGAGATGGGGAATGAGTTTCTCGTCCCCATTGAGTGGATTTTTTCTACCCGCTCCCTCGCTCATTCCCTACTTAAATGGAGTCAAAGCTCTCGTAGGCCCTTATCATGGGACCCATCCACATTCATCCAAGTGTAGGGCTCAAGCAAGTGTCACATGGGTCAAGCTATGTGGTAATCTCAAAATGAAAAAAATTATTCAAAAAACCGTCACAAAATATTTGTCTCTTAATGAGTTTGCACAATGTGTTTATGTTTTAATATTTTATTTTGGCATCTTGTGTTGTTTATAAATTACTCAGATCACATGCCACCTCTCTTATACTCATTGCTTGCTTATCTTCAGCATCTTCCTTAGATTCTCATTCCAAAAATTTCTCTCTGTATTCATTTTCCCTCACAGCCTTTCTCAGTGAACACAGGGAATCTTCAGCAAAGGGACAGCACAGCCAGATCTCTAAGCCCTTTCCCTTTTGACCCAAAGTTTGTCACCTTTCTTCGACATGTGCAAAACCCCTTTTAAAGGAACCTCCTTCTACCAATCACACCCATGCAGGTACCACTTTCAAACAGCTTTGCTTTGTAGAAGTTCCTAAAAATGATGGCTTTTCTCTCTGTTTTTTCTGTTAAATCTTAATGGATTTTTTGTTGTTTTGATGCATTGCAGCAACTTCTTCAATGGGTTTTCAAGGAAACTAGTGAAAAAGATGGACATAGGACTTCACATTCCACCAAGAAGGGAGCAAGTTGGGGTAAGAGAAAAACTGCACACTACCTGTTTGATAAAATGTCGAAGTGGTAGTGATTTGTCTTGAGAGTCATGAATGTTTAACTTGAATCTGCTAGATCAAAGGAGATAGTGGTGTCTAGTCCAAGAACTGCGGACTTTGATAACATGCAACAATATTGGATCCAAAAGATGATAAACGAAGATATTGCTAAGGGAATGAGAGAGATTGGTCAAATGGCAGATTCTCCTTCTGTTCATGCAGGCACCAAAGTCTTGCCAATCACTGATACCACTTCAGTAGAGCAATGCAGCAAAAAAGATGTTATCTCCAATGGGGAGACAAAAATCAAAGCCAAATCAAGAATGAAGGAGCTTTTGAGATGGGCTGTGGCTTCAAAATCAAAAAAAGGAGGGAAGTTCATCACTGACAAGGTGATTTCTTAACTTCTTAACAACTTGCCCTTGTTTGGATATTGGATTAGATCATTTTCCTCTTGAACTACCACGAAATTTAATAGCTTAAGCTCATAAGTTAAGGTACTATATTCTCGACACTCTTGTTAAGTGTGGACTCGGGGATTAGCATGATTCGAAGAATCGAAAACGTGAACAATACTAACTTCGGTCGAGAGGAAGTGATATTGCAGGGATTTGAGCTTATGGCTCTAGTTATGATATAATTTTAAATTGCTACCAAACCTGTGGGATCCCACCTCAGTTGGGAGGAGAACAAAACATTCTTTATAAGGGTGTGAAAACCTCTCCCTAACAGACGCGTTTTAAAAACTTTGAGGGGAAGTCCTGGTGTGGGAACCTCTTCCTAATAGACGCGTTTTAAAAACTTTGAGGGAAAGCCCTAGTTTGAAAATCTCTCCTAGGCAGATACGTTTTAAAAACTTTGAGAGAAAGTCTTGGTGTGGAAATCTCTCCTTAGCAAACGTGTTTTAAAAACCTTGATGGAAAACTTGGAAGGGAAAGCTCAAAGAGGACAATATCTGCTAGTAGTAGGCTTGTACTGTTACAAAACCCAAAACTTGAACTCATCGTTTTCTATGTTACTAAATCAATAATTAATGGTGACTGTGATTTGTATCCATGCTGAACATGAAAGAAACAAAAACACTAACATAACTATGTTTTGCTTTCTGATGGTTTATACAGTCTTATTTCACAGTCAATAAGTTTTCTATAGTTGAAAGCTATACACAGTACTGAATGGCTCAAAATTATGCAAATTCTTTCAGGTATCACGAACACGAAACCAAGAAGCTCCTGGCTGGGACGATGATCAAGCGAGCAACGACTCCCGCAAGATCAGTTTCAGATGGGAAGCTGAAAGACGCTCCTCCGTTTCCTCAACCTACTCATCGGTATCGCGAGTTTCCTCCTTCAAGAACTGTTCCATTACCCTTAATTCCACTGCCATTGAAGAAATCAATCACTGTTATCCAAGAAAAGGAAGCTGGATCACTACAGATTCTGAATGTAAGGCTCTAAAACTGACCTATATGAAAATTATTATGAAACAAAAGCATGAGGAACTGACTGAATTCCCTTCTCTACCTTGAAACGGACAGTTGTTGTGCTAGAGCTGTGAAGGAAAAGGAAGACAGATTATCAACTGTTTGATCTCCTTGCAATCTGTGAATTGTCAGAGGATTTTTATGTAAATTTTTTGAAGTATCTGTGAAGAACATGCATCTGAAGTAACATTTTGAGTGTAATTCAAACCATCATCTAAAAGTCTTTAGTGTAACAGGGTAACTGAGCTTCACATCTGCCTTCCTTTTTCACTACGTGAAACTTTTCGGGTTTTCGCAGGTCGAGCTTGAGATCACTCAACAAGCATCTTAGGACAACTGAGCTTCACATTTGCCTCCCTTTTCACTATGTGAAACTTTTCGGGTTTTCGCAGGTCGAGCTTGAGATCACAACAGGCATCTTAGGATAACTGAGCTTCATATCTACCTTCCCTTTTTGCAACGTGAAACTTTTTGAGTTTTCGCAGGTCGAGCTTGAGATAAGAATAGGCATCTTAGGACGAGTATCACTCATTTAGATGTTTCATTCTTTTCTTTCGAGTTCAAGCAATTTTGACATTTCATCTTTTCTATCTATCTACTAATCGATGTTTGTGTGAGATCTCATGTCGTTTGGAGAGGAGAACGAAACATTCTTTATAAGTGTGTGGAAACCTCTATTTAGTAGACGTGTTTTAAAATCGTGAGGCTCACGACGATACGTAATGGATCAAAGTGGACAATATCTGTTAAGAGTGGACTTAGGACGATTACAAATGTCATCCACCCTCAAGGGGTGGATAGTGAGATGATCATTTGTCATAGGGGTATGGAAATTTCTCCCTAGCTGCATCTTAAAATTATGAGGCGACTAAAATTGTGAGGCGACAGACGACTAAAATTGTGAGGCCACAACGATATATAACTGGTTAAAACGAACAATATTTGTTAGCGGTAGGCTTGGTTTAACCCAATAAATTGGGAAAAAGTTTGTAGAGATATTTTAAATTTTTTTGAGAATTGAAACGAAGATGAATTTTCATCTAGTAATTTTAAAATAAATTATTAATCGTTAATTATTAAGGCTTAATTATTCAAATAATTTGAGGCCCACAATCTAATGGTTGAAAAAATAAGTAAAATCTAAACCGTCGGTGCAGTTTACGCGCCAAATTCGCAAATAATGTTGCACCAAAAAAAAAAAAAAAAGAAAAAAAAAAAGAAAGGAAATTGTGGAACCTGGCGAACCGATTTCGTCTGTAGTTTATAAGGAAAGTGAGAAAAATTCAGGGGTTTTAGCCTCCTTTCCCCCATTTCTTTCTTCCAGCTCAAAACCATACACAAACACTCACACTCAAGCTTTCTCCCCTTGCCCGTTAGGGTTCCTGATTTCTTCATCTTCTTCCCTCTTTCGCTTCCCGCCTTGCTGAAGCACTGCCATGGATAGATACCAGAAGGTCGAGAAACCTAAGCCTGAATCTCCGATAAGCGAAAATGAAATCCGCATCACCAGCCAAGGCGCTATCCGAAACTACATCACTTATGCTTCCACCCTACTGCAGGTACCATGTCACTGTTTCTTTGATCGATTCTCATTATCTATTGTATTTCATTTCGTCTTTTGTTGGAGTATCTTTGTTTTATTCTTTCTACTGATTTTTCGTAATGCTGAATCTGTCTTATGAGGTTGGGTTTCTGAGTGTGGATTGTGCATACATGAGACGTATTAGTCAAGTTTTAGGAGATTTTCTTGGTTTCTATTAGTTTTTGCATTTTTTTTTTTGTAATGTTAGTCGGCATTTGTTGTGTTGGTATATTGCTGGTGTATTGATTTCTTTTCTTCTACTTGTGACTTCTGAGGGATGTTTGCTCGCTGGCTGACGCTTTGCCGTAATTTGCATTGACTGTGAAAGTGTTGTTAGTTTAATGCACGAGTTATGGTACATCGTAATCTGCGATAGCTCGTTAGATGTCATCAGTTCTGTTGATTATCTACGGTCCTTATAGTTTTTTCTTCTAATTTTTCGTGAATTTGTAGTTTCGGCATTATTTTCTTATAAGAAGAAAAGATACAGTTGAATCTATGCTTTATACTGTATTCTCAAATCGAGTTATTATGTTAAGTCATTGATCATGTGGAGCTAGGTGTTTCTGTATTAACTTGACGTGATTTTTGGCTCAGGTTTCTTCCGGTTGTACACATGTTTTTCAATATGTAAATTGACCGTCAAGATACATTACGTTATTGTTTTTCTTATAAAAAGAATGACATACACTACAGCTCATGTTCTACAATGTAATATCATGGAGTTTGGTGTTTCTTTATTATATTGGCTTGATTTTTTGGATCATAGATTTTTTCAATTTGTATATTTCTAATTTTTTATTAGAAGAATTTAATTATTAATTTTATTCATGGGATCAAGTTTAATGTTTCATTGTTATATGTGCAATTAGTTGATGATTTCAATTGCTATTTTTTTTATTCAGGCTAGACTTGGATTGCAAAGCTTAGCTATATTTAATTGTTTATTCAGACATATTTCTAAGCGTGTTACTCAAGTGAGAATGTTCCTTTTATGTTTTGGTTTAATATATCACATTTTTCACTCACCCAGGACAAACGTGTTAGAGAGATAGTCTTGAAAGCCATGGGGCAGGCAATCAGTAAAGGTGTTGCCATTGCAGAAATTTTAAAGGTTTGAGTTCTTTACGTTCTGCAACTGTGCATGTTTAATATTTTATACTCAGCAGGCCAGTTTCATCCTCTAACAGAAGCGAACTCCACGGTTGCATCAAGAAACTTCCATCAGCTCAGTGAGCATAACTGATGTATGGGAACCTATTGAAGAAGGTCTTATACCGTAAGTTTTTTAATATCTAGGATTCTCTGTTAATTGCCTAATAATGACCTATGCACTTCCTGCGGGTTGGTTTCTTTATGCTTGTATGCACAACTTTGCATTGTGTGGCTTCGTACTCTTTAGTTTGCAATTACAGATTTTCTTATTGCTGCGAGTATGTAGCTTTATCATACTGTTCTGCAGATGTTTAACAAATAATCTCTGAGATATCTGCAGTGTGGAGATGACTCGCCATGTCTCAATGATATCAATTACCTTATCAAATCGAGAGCTAAATAAAAACGCTCCTGGGTAAGATAATCTAGTCCTTAATGTACTGCTTTCCATTTTTGTGCTGAAGTTTCTTTAAGAGTGTTTAAGAATAAAAAATGTTATTATTTGTAGGTACCAAGCTCCAAATGTTGTGGAACAGCCAAAGCAACAATATAATCTGCAGCAGCAACAACAACAGCCAAGACAGTCTCGTCCTTATTACAATGCTATTAATGAAGGTGATAGTTCAATCTGAAAACGATTTATTGTTAATTTGTGAAAATGTTATATCTTCCACCCTACATAGTGCAGCAACAATACATAAAAAAAAAAAAGACATGGAAACAGAATCAAGAGAATTTAGAATTCTTGGGATCCACCATACGTCATTTCGTAAGTAAAGAAATCAAATATTCAAGGTTAAATCTTCTTGAGCTTCCAGTATCTCATTACCAACCTTACCTTAAAAACAGACGCCCAAACCCCCCGGGGGGGTTGATCCCAGTGAATTTGGGCTTTGGGATGTTAGGGCAGGACTAGATGTTGGTTGAAGGTTCGAGATACTGGGTGGGAATCTTTAGGAAAGGAATCAGTTGATGTTACTGGAGAATAACGTAGTTTCATACAATAAGCACAAACCACACAAATCTCCCCCCCGAGATTGGCCACACCCAATTGATTCTAATTCATTGGGAAGGTCAAGTCTGTTCCTGGACAATCTATAAACAATGTTTAATGGAGACTGAACTATTAACTGTTGGATTATGGTTCTCTCATACTTGAACTCTGAGACATTCCTGCCCATATAGCAGATCCATATGGCCAAAGCCGAGGTCGTGGTAGAGGGAGGGGACGTGGTTGGGGCAGAGGTGGATATGGAAACTACCAAGGAGGATATGGCAACTACCAGGGTGGATATGGAAACTACCAGGGTGGATATGGCAACTACCAAGGCGGATCTGGCAACTACCAAGGCGGGTCTGGTAACGGCTACCAAGGTGGATCTGGCGACAACTATCAAGGTGAATATGTTTTCCTCTTTCATTTTCATTTACGCCAATCCTTGAGTACAGCCTAATATATAGTTTCTATTTTGTTGTCAACATAGATAATGGTGGGTTCTCAAACTGGGGTAGAGGAGGTGGGCGAGGCAGAGGTTGGGCATATCGTGGTAAGTTTCTTTCTCAACTTTCTTTTTCTTTTCAGAATCGTTTGTTGATTAGTGAGGTCTGGTAACTGTCATTTTGCAGACTTCGTTGATGTTTTGTGCCACCAAATTATTGTTAAGCTCTTGTGATCTTTACATTTAAGATTTCTTAGAACAGAGAGATGAAACAATCATGTGGTTAGTATGGATCGAGTTAAATTGTTTGAATCAATTGCATTCCTTTCAGGATCTGGCTATGATAGAGGCAGAGGGGGTAGGGGTTACATTCGAGGTCGGGGGCGGATGGGTGGACGAACAAGGGGCAGTGGTGTTGGTAGAAACCAGGCTTAGTTAAAAAGTTATTCGTTCTTTTTACTTGAGCTAAATGCTTTGCCTTGGCCATTTAAGATGCTTTTTATCTGAATATAATGTTTTTAATAGCGTGGAAATTTGGCTTTTTAGAGCGTTGTTGAGCAGTAGTTTCTTCTTTTGCCTGTGGTAATGTGGTGGGCAAGGTTGTTTTTGTTCATGTTTTGCATTTAGCTTTATAAGAGCAGTCAGTTCGGTTCATTCGCAGTGTAATTTGTTTTTTTTTTTTTTTTTTTTTTTACCCATACGTTTTCCCGTACCTAGCATCTTTATGCTATTATTATTGTATTCTTTTCTACTTAGTTCGTTTCCATAGTTTCTTTGTTTACACCCTTCGGAAAAATTAATCTTATTTTTTTGTGCCTTTGGAAGAAAAAAAAAAGGAAAAAAAAAAGTAAATAAAAATTACGTAGAAGATGAGAGGAGATTCTCGAGGATAAGGATTCAATGACTTTGAAAGAATTGAATGAGTAGTAAGAATTAACCTCAACTAAAGTATAATATATTTCAAAAAAATAGGTATTAAAATGATATTCCAACTTATTAAGTTGCTAGGGATTTATTTAGTTTTAAAATGAAAAATGTGTAATAGGTCCATAAATATTTAAATTT